CCGTTGCGCGCAAGAGAGAACTGGCTGTATTCAGTGTGCATGCTTCGCGCGGTGTACTTGTGCACGCTAATGACTGATGCTCTCGTTATGCAAGCTCGTGAGGTATGACTGAGCCTCATAGTCACCAAACTGCTACTGCTCGTGTGAGTGACAAGCACTAGTGACGTGGACTAATCCATCCTCCCAAATACCCGTAGTACATACAGTAGACTACAGATATAGGGGCTATCCATGGTAGAAGACGGATGAAAGGTACATCAAGCAGTATAGACATCCCGATTTGGCTTGTGAGACGCCCGAGCCGCAACACGGAGCGTGCTCTATTCGGACTCCGCTCACGGCCTCCTACGGCACGGCTTAGGACACTTGCAGCGGCAAGTGGGGCTCGCCCGCACTGCCTTGTCACGGTGGCTCTCCGTTGCTAGGTCGTCCTGGGTAGCAACGGGCCAGCGACCTGAAAATTGAGTACGCCCTGTATGGGGAATCGAGATGAGCTGCTCAGGCCCGACCTCGGGCCCAATTCGTCGCGTTCTGTCCACCATGAGTGCTACGCGTGACTTCGACTCTGCGCCTGTTCTTTCCTACCTCGCTCTACCTGACGACTATCAACCTTCACCCCAAACCGCCCCAGTCGAGTTCCTTCGCAAGCATATCCGAGAGCTTCCTCCCCATCTGCTCGCACTCTTCTCTGCCAACACTACACCGAGGGAGAGGACGGTGGTCCCGGAAATACGCAGCAGGAGGCTCAAGTACGTAGAGTCGAAACCACCCGAATTCTCGCTCGCGGAGGCGAAGTCTACTTGGCCCGCTCTGTGGGAGGGGAGGGAGCGGCCTGGCACGGAACAAGCGAAGGCGGAGAAAGAATGGGCAGACAAGGAATTCATGGGCGGGACTGTTCAGCAGCAAGTTGGGAAGCTCGGTGAACTGCTCAGAGATTACGAGGAGGAACGCGAGTCTGAACGGGTGAGGACGATCCGACGGCAGCGTGCCGAATACATTGAATCGCTACCGGAAGAGGACGAGGAGAGCGATGAAGACGAGGACGATCAAGCGCCATTACCAGAGCCGTCTCCCATTGAGAACGAGGCTTGGTTTCAGAGAAACATACAGGAACGCTTCATTTACGGATTTCTAGAGGTACGCGTTCGAGTTCTTCCACAGTCAGGTTACATAACTCTTGTTCTACCCTAGTCAATTGATTACGACAAAGTGGATTGGAATGAGCAATGGGATGAAGATCTGGACAGGGAGGCGGAAGAGCGATGGTTTGATGACGAAGAGGAGGACTGAACACTGTTCCTAGGAAACGACCGAGATCGGTCAGGTTGCGCGGCTCGCCTCTACGTATGTTGGTCATGCGAGCAGACCATCAACAAGCAAGGCTTCTGGAGCGTGCTATTGATAACATTCGTCGACCACTCACCTGAATGAGCTTCTGCATCTTCCGCATGGCATCCCGCATTCCCATGCCTTAGGCCTGGGGCGTGTCGGAATGCGGTCAGGTGACGTGTCAGATTAGATTAGATTACCTTACCTTCCTGTTATAGTAGACAAGCACTGCCACCTGCCAGCGCTGTAGACAGTGCTGGCTTCGCTCCTTCCTTTCCTCAGTCAGTGATCTTCCCACTAGACTGAGGTATGTTCATCTTCTATTCCCATACTATACTGTACTCATATGGTTCTTAGAGTCCTCTGTACAGGTATAGTCCTAATACAGTCAGTGATCTTCCCACTAGACTGAGAGTCCTCTGTACAGGATCTCTTAGGGCGTTAGTGCGATTGCGAGTTATGGACCGTCGATAGCAATCGATGAATGGCCGGCCCGTGTTCTTGCTTGGTAAGATATGTCAACAAGATTGGGTGCATTCTATTGACGTCAGTGACTTGCTAGTATATATACTCCACGCCTTGTCTCCTCCCTTGTAGACCACTCCAAGCAATGCCGGAAGTCCCACGTTTCAAGCTTAATACTGGCGCGTTGATGCCCGCCGTCGGTATGAACATAGCACGAGACTTCCTCGGGGATCGTTGACCTTCGCTGAGCTGGGTTGTTGATAGGGCTCGGTGGATGGGGCGGGGTGGAACAAGAAGCCCGTATCAACGCATGGCAATTCATGGTCCCTGCCCTGCAGGTCAGTGCTCTCTTCATCATACAATATGTGTAAAGTAACGAAGTGTCACACAGTCCGGATATCGGCTGATTGATACCGCCTGGGCTTACGGTGAGCGAAGAGCGAAGAAACGCACGAATATGAACACCTCAACGAATTCTAGGTACGGAGCGGGCCACGGGAGAAGCCATCAAGAAATCTAGCATTCCTCGCGACCAGATCTGGATCACGACCAAATTGCAGTGAGCAGCACTTCGCGTGCCATACATCACGAGCGAGGAGAACTTCCATTCAAGTGTGCACACGTTTCTTTGTAGCCACCAGCACCAAGGTGTTTTTGTCGAAGAGTACTTCGAGGATAGCCTGAAGAATTTGGACATGGATTATGTCGACTTGGTTCGCGTCTATCTTCAAGAATAGCTGAGTAAGGTCCTGACCCTCACCGACCAGTTGCTGTTGCACTGGCCGCAAACATCGAAATTCGTTGGTGCGCCGTGTTCGTGCGAATCATCCACCGTTTTGACTAACGTCGGTTGCAGCCGGCGTCACTGATCCACTCGACCAAGATGGTGACCTGATCACCTACGACACCCCCATCTTCCCCGAGAGTTGGGCGCGCATGGAGAGGATTTATGAGAGTGGGAAGGCGAAGGCTATTGGCGTAAGCAATTTCTCCATCAAGAAGTAGGTTTGACTTCCACTAGACCATCTCAACCTGACATTGATACGTGCTCTTAGCCTCGAAAAACTTCTTGAGACAGCCAAGGTTGTTCCTGCAGTCAACCAAGTCGAGTGTGTTGTCCAATTGATAAAGAGCACAATATCTTAGCTGATGCATCGCGTGCTGGATAGGACGCACCCATACCTCGTGCAGCAGGATTTGAAAGATTACTGCGATAAGAAGGGGATCGTACTTACGGCGTACACCCCCACTGGTCAGTTCTCGTCCGCATGATCAACAATTGAGATTCATCATGATGTCTACTCAGGTTACTCTACTGTGCGAAATGACCCAACTATACTTGAGCTCGCCGACAAGTACAAGGTCACTCCCGCCCAGATCATACTCGGATGGCATATTGCGCGCGGGGTCGCTGTCGTGCCGAAGAGCTCCAACGAACAGCGCCAGAGGGATAACATCAACGTAGGTGTCCTCCGCAAGACCCTGCTGCGTATTCCTTTGTCTTAGCCGTTGAATCCGCATAGCTCCCAACGCTTGACCCTGAAGATGTCAAGCGCATCAGTGGCCTCGATCGGAACCAACGGCTTTGCAACTACGCAAAGAAGCCTGGTGGAAAGGTCTGGGGCTGGATGTAATGATACGGGTGTCGCCTGATTCACACAAGTCCAAAGTACACTGAACCAATCTCTAGATTGAGAGGGCGTATACTATGGTGGACGTGGTGAAAGGCTGAGAAGCCTTCGCCACGTCGCGCGGATCCAGATGGATCAGCGCCGATCACCATGACGATCCAGATTTAGATACAAGATGTAGATTAACTATGTAGATAAGATAAGGTAATGAACGATCCGTTACATTCTCCCCCTTCAGAACCTGTGCCAGGTTCTCATATGATACCAATGAGGAATAGGAAGTGCATGGAATAGCCATGTCCATATGAGAGAAGGGAAAAGCATAAGCGTCCGATAGGACGCGCGATGATGATGCGATAGAGGAAATGTTGATGCGGCGGGCGTGATACGAAATTGCGGGTGGACGATGCGGTTGAGCGGGAGGCGGCGTGCCGGCAGGGCGACGCAACACGACGAGGGTGAGACACCCGGCCCACACGTACG